ATCCCCAGTGGGGGGGGGGGGGCAGGAGGCAGCCAATCAATGACTCTCACCATTGATGTTTCTCTCCCTCCTTCTCTCGGAAATCAATAAAGACATATTTAAAAATAAATAAATAACCTTGTGTAATGGGATTAATTCCAGCCAGCACATCAGGTCTTAAAGGATATTGGCAAATACTGGGTGGAAGCAGGGTATTGCCAATAGTTATTTTGATAGGAGTGGCTGAGCTGATCTTCCCGAATCTGAACTGGGAAGAGCCCGAGCTCCACAGGATGGTCCTACAGCAGACATTCAGCCTCGAGATTCGTTTTCCCTTGTGGAGGTTCCTTTAACGCACCTTTCCAGTTGATTGATTTAGCTCTAAACACACTTCACCCTTCTGAGGAAAGGGTGTGTGGCATCGTGGAGTTCAAGAAAGTCTCAGGTGAGTCGGGGCAGATTTGATTAGCAACAGTATATGTTACCCCGAAACATTCCCTGGTTGGAAGGGAGCAGATTCTGATTTAAAAATAGAATTGGTTGATTAGATATCCCTAACATCTGTACAGTTTTACTCTGAGGGAGGGGGCAACTTTACTGGGTGTGGTTAAGAACAGGTGAAGTAGCCCCGGGATCTGCAAGCGCCTTAGTAACTCCCCTTTCCTCGGCCATTTCAAGTTCTCGTGAAGCACCGGTAAGGAGGGGAGATGGCCTCCCAGAGTCCTTTGAGAAGCCCCACGCTTGCTCCCGTTTTTTTTTTTTTTTCTAAATCCCATTTCAATTTTCAACAATTTTTCTTAAGACGATGTGGTTTTTTTACAGTGAAGGCAGACTCTCCTTTGACCTCACTGAGAAGTCCTTTGGTGATTGCTGAGCTGCTGGAGCTGTGAATTCATCATTTTAGTAGCTCTAGCCTTCCCTTCCCTTTGAACAGTTTCAAGTAAGTGACGGACCAGAATTGCCAGTTTATCAGAATTGCTAACATATGTGGTCGACCCGTTTAATTCATGTTGTTTAATCAGAGTTATAAGCTCCCCGTGTAATCCTTCCAGAAATGCTGAATTAAGCATAGGGTCATCTTGATGATCCTTAAAACTGTCTGAAGATGATCCTGAATGTTGTTTGAAAGTTTTTTCAAAACATTCCAAGAAATCAAGTATGTTTTACTCGATATTGCTGGATTTTCATCCAGTCTATTTTCTGGGAGGAAATCTCAGCAGTGGCTTGCTGAAGCCTGTGGGCTTAATTCCCTACATTTTTCTTGGCTTTTCTTTGTTTTTAAAAACCCTCTATGGGAGTTTTCCAGCAGGCCTTACCTGGCCACTCTGCTTCTTTGCTCTCAGAAACCAGTAGGTGTGTTAGTTTGGAATAGGTCAGAATAGCCAGGATCATATATTCTAACAATTAAATCAAATTCCTTTGCAAACCCAACAGGATCTTAGAGAGGATCAGGAAGATCCTTAGTTAGATTCCTTGGTTCTGCTTTAGTCCATGGGGGTAAAGTATTGCTGGTTCCCCTCATGCTGAGACTGGCTATTCTCTAAAGAAAGCTATAAGAATTCGTTGCTTTTTTCTAGCCCTATCCCGGCCTGCCTTTCTTTTCTTACCTCCCCCTAAGTCAGCAGAGGGTGGTGGTGAAGAGGAGGGGGAGGCACGTCCAGGGAAGGGCGCTCAGAAAGGAGTGGGGCGAGTGGGGTGTTGGTACTGGGCAGCCTCGGAAGCCTTCTTTAGTGCAGACAGTTTCTAAAAGTTTCTTATTAACTTTCTTGAAAAGAAAATATATATCTGAGAGTTCAGAGACAGTCTTTAAATTTTTCTTCAGTTCCCAAAGAGAGGAAAGTTTACCCGGGTTCCTTTTACAGGCTTCTATTTTCTAATCAAGGGAAGCATTCCATTCATTCAGTTCCATTTTAGAGCCTGATTTTTCTAACCGAGCACCCAAAAGCGGATTCAGAGGTATCAAAAGAGCCCCATTTTGCCCATCTTAAGCTATGTCACTTTTAGTTAATTCTCCCCGTTTCTGTAAATGCTCGATAGTTGAGGCTCCGTACAAACTGCACAGAAAGCTCGCAGAGTGCTGAGCGGAGCCTGTCCATCCGGGCTGTCAGCCTCGGAGGCACAATTTCCCATGTTAATTTTAATTTTTCTTTTGAGCCAATTAAGAACAATTCAGGCCAGGCCGGCGTGGCTCAGTGGTTGAGCACTGACCTGTGACCCAGGAGGTCGTGGTTCGATTCCTGGTCGGAACACGTCACCCGGTTGCGGGCTTGATCCCCAGCCAGGGGCCTGCAGGAGGCAGCCGATCAATCACTCTCATCACTGATGTTTCTCTCTCTCCCTCTCCCTTTCTCTCTCTGAAATCAATAAAGACATTTTAAAATTTTTTTTTTTTAAAAGAACAATTCAAATAGCCCTGGCCGGTGTGGATCAGTTGTGTGGAGCATTGTCTGGTACATCAAAGGTGGTGGGTTCAATTCCTGGTCAGGCCACATGCCCAGGATGCGGGTTCAATTTCCAGTCAGTGCTCTTGTGGGAGGCAACCGATCAATGTTTTTGTTTTCTCTCTGTCTCCCTTCCTCTTTCTAAAATCAATTTTAAAAAATAAAAGTAATAATAAATAGAACACAAATAGGCCAGGAACTGCTCCCTAAAGCAGGTAGTTCAGGGATTGCAAGAGAAGACTCACCCAAGTTCACCGGGTGAGAAGCAAAGGGCCCACGGGGCACGGCAGGCACACCCGACGCCTACCCGCGGGCTGGGCGCGCAGGGTGGCCCTGGCTGGGCTTATTCCGAGCCCTGCCAGCTTCGCCAACTAAACGCCCCTGGCAGGGTGTCCAAACCTGGAGAGAATTTTCATAAAAATGGATTTGAGCCAAACAAAGGACATACCTGGAGGCAAGATCTCAACAGACTGAGAACATGCTTCCCTCGAATGCAAGTTCCAGCCCAGCTGCTTTTTTGAAGCGGATTGAGGAGGGAGCGGGAGAAAGGTTGCCTGAAGGCAGGGAAGGCTCGGGAGATGGGATCACCGGACGGTTAACCAGATTGTGCGCTCTCTGGAGCTGGCTTATCTTCTGAGGGTCTGAAAGAGACCTTTCAGAGCTATGTTAACCTAGAAACACAGAAACAATGGGCAGGGCTTGCTTGCTTGAGGCAAAAATAAACCCTTTGGCCCTGGTCGGGTAGCTCAGACGGTTAGAGCATCACCCCGATATGCCACGGTTGTGGGTTTGATCCCCGGTCAGGGCACATACAAGAACCAACCAATGAAAGTGTAGATAAGTGGAAGAACAAATCAGTGTTCCTCTCTCCCCCCATCCTCTCTCAAACCAATAAAATAAATAAATGAATAAATAAGCCTTTTACTGAAGAAGTTATATGCTCACCACTGACTGCCAGGTTAGGAATTTATGATAAGATCGCCCTGTGCGGTCACTGTCCATCTTGTCCACGCAGCCCATCTCCCTCGGCACCCAGAACTGAGCCTGGGCCCAGCTGGCTCAAGGGGAACACAGGAGAAAATGAGGTGAGTGAAGGAGTGACAGGTCCCCATGACTGAGGGAGCAGAGGGTTGGGGTGGTCCCATCAGGACCCTGGAAATGCTCCTCACCCAGAGGGCACCTGCCCCGTGGCCTGACTCTCCCCTGGGGGACAGCAGGGGCCTGCCCTGTTCCAGATGGCCCTGCCTTGTTCAGGAAATGTGCCTGGAGACTTTGCCATACCCTACCACCTCCCTTCCGCAGGCAGGGGCGGGGTCAGGGTGGCTGCCTGGGGCACAGGGAGGGACATGGAGCCTTTTACGGCCAGGGATAAAGTCCTCCCCTGATTTAAGCCCAAAGAGCTTTAACCACAGCTAGTCCAAGTTCCACCATCGCCAGGGTCCCAGCCCCTCTGGAGTCCCGGCTCTGCCACCTTCCTGCCACCCCACAGGCATGCAGGGAGCCTGGGTTCTGCTGCTGCTGGTGGGCCTGAGGCTACAGGTCTCCCTTGGCGTCATCCCAGGTAAGGGGGCTCCTCCCAGCAGACCCCACACACAGGGCGCTTCCCCAAGGCTGACCTGGCCTCCCTCTCCCCTTGGCCAGCTGAGGAGGAAGACCCAGCCTTCTGGAACCACCAGGCAGCCCAGGCCCTGGATGCTGCCAGGAAGCTGCAGCCCATCCAGACAGGGGCCAAGAACCTCATTATCTTCTTGGGGGACGGTGAGTGTGCATGGCCTGCCCACCCTCCAGACCCCCACAGTCCTGGCACCCAGGGCTGCTTGTGGTCCCAGCCATGCCTGGGGACTCGGACCTGACAGGGTTCTGCTCCTTCAGGGATGGGGGTGCCCACGGTGACAGCAGCTCGGATCCTAAAGGGGCAGATGAATGGCAAGCTGGGCCCTGAGACCCCCCTGGCCATGGACCAATTCCCATACATGGCTCTGGCTAAGGTAAGGGCTGGGTGGCCTCAGGGTGCCCTGTGCCACAGAGGTAGGGGTGGGGATGGGCCTAGGGAGCCTGGCAAGAGGGAAGGCCCCAGGAGGGTTGGGGCCTGACTTAGGGGCCCAAGGCCTGGTCATGATCTGGGTGTCAGTCCCGGAGAGGAGCTGAGGGTGTCTCTGTCCTCAGACATACAATGTGGACAGACAAGTGCCAGACAGCGCAGGCACAGCCACAGCCTACCTGTGTGGGGTCAAAACCAACTACCAGACCATCGGTGTGAGTGCGGCCGCCCGATATAACCAGTGCAACACGACACGTGGCAACGAGGTCATCTCCGTGATGAACCGGGCCAAGAAAGCAGGTGGGCTTGGGGTCAGCCTGGTGGGCAGGGATCAGGCCGAGAGACCACAGTGGCTCACCCTGACCTCCGTTACCCCCAGGGAAGTCAGTAGGGGTGGTGACCACAACGAGGGTGCAGCATGCGTCTCCCGCCGGCAACTACGCGCACACCGTGAACCGCAACTGGTACTCGGATGCCAACATGCCCCAGGAGGCGCTGAGGGGCGGCTGCCAGGACATCGCCGCACAGCTCATCTCCAACATGGACATTGACGTGCGTCAGGAAGGGCACTGGGGACCTGGGCAGAGGGGGTGGGCCCCACACTGGCCAGGGTCCAGGCAACCCGCAGCCTGGGGCCTGGGGTCTGGGGCCTGGCAGATCCTCTGGGCCTAGTGGGGGGGAGGTATAGAAGGTCCAGCTGAGCCAGGCCATTGCCACAGCCCTGGTGGGGGGACCTAGGGACTGTTCGATCAGGGGGCAAAGGGCCAGCCAGGCCCCAAGCTTACCTGCCCTAATTCTCTGGCTCCAGGTGATCCTGGGTGGAGGCCGCAAGTACATGTTTCCCAAGGGGACCCCAGACCCTGAGTACCTTGGTGACGCCTCACAGAGCGGAGTGAGGTTGGACATGCGGAACCTGGTCCAGGAGTGGCAGGCCAAGCGCCAGGTGATGGGGCTCTGCCAGCGGAGACAAGGGCAGGGCTGCTGGTCGCAGGGCTGTGGGCTGAGGCCTGGTTCTGTCCCTCCCAGGGTGCCCGGTATGTGTGGAACCGCACAGGGCTCCTTCAGGCGTCCCTGGACCCCTCTGTGACACACCTCATGGGTAACGACCCCCACCCCCGCCTTCCCGCTCTGTTCTTCTGGGTCCCTGCACGCCAGCATGTGTGCACAGATGTGCACACGGACCCCACTCCACAGCTCGTCGGTCACCCCGCCCCCTTTCCCACAGGCCTCTTTGAGCCGGGGGACATGAACTATGAGGCCCATCGAGACACCAGGAAGGACCCAAGCCTGAAGGAGATGACAGAGGTGGCCTTGCGCCTGCTGAGCAGGAACCCCCGGGGCTTCTACCTCTTCGTGGAGGGTGAGTGAGGGGCAGCCCCTCGCTGAGCAAAGGTGGGAGGGGATGCAGGGACCCCCCACCCACCTCCCCCGTGGTCTCTCTGCAGGGGGCCGCATTGACCAAGGTCATCATGCGGGAAAAGCTTACCTGGCTCTGACCGAGGCTGTCAGTTTTGATGACGCCATTAATAGGTCCGGCCAGCTCACCAGCGAGATGGACACGCTGACCATTGTCACTGCTGACCACTCTCACGTCTTCACTTTTGGTGGCTACACTCTACGTGGCAGTTCCATTTTCGGTAGGTCCAGAGAGAATGGCAGGTCCTGTTTCTTAAATTTCGTGGCAGAAAATGCTCTGAGCCTCAGTTTGCTCCTCTGTCAAATGGGGTCATGATAGCCATAACCTGCAGGGTCATGTGGGGATTGTCACTGAACAGGCGAGCAGTGCCTGGGCTTAGCGTACAGGGGGCGCTGCAGAGCTGTGGGGTGGCCATCACATACCCCTCCTCCCCGCAGGGCTGGCTCCGGAGGCAGCCTCCGACGGCAAGACCTACACCTCCATCCTTTACGGCAATGGCCCCGGCTTCGCCATGAGCGGGGGCCCCCGTCCAGAAGTCAGCCACGACCAGAGCAGTGAGTGCGCTGGC